GTGGATGCTGATTTTCTTTACTTCAACACACACGAAAAGTAGTCTGGATAATTTCAAATTCAAGTAATAATGAATGCACTGGTGAGTTAGATTATAAATTGCATTTATCACTGCCCTAACAAATTACAAAACTAATGCTAGTTGAAACACGAGCGATACCGTCGACTAACATACTCCCAGAGATAATAAAAAAATTTAGATATGTTTGATTTCGATTAGTTGTAACTCCGCATTCTTGATAGTTATTCTAGTAAAATTAAATTGTGACCATGTCATGTTTATGTTTGAGAATCTGGGATTATGTGTCACTTAATACTTCATACATATTTTTCCCGAAAACGTCTCTATTCTAGCAGAAGTTAGAACATTGAGATTATATATAGTGGTGCAGCAAACCAACATAAATTGCTTTCATCAGCGATACATAGTCACTCTTAAATACTCTTAGTAAAAAATGGGAACCTCTTTCATCCTTTGTTGGTTTAATACACAAAGTATTCATAAAATTGTTTACAAAGAACCTATTGATACCTTAACGTATCCCAGCCACTGTTCACATGGAGCATTATTCCAATTCCCAAATGACAAATAACTTTATCTACACAAAGTCTCATTCACATTTGAAACAGAATGACTAATCCCATCTATGCATTATTCGACTGAATCTCTGAAGTGAATGAATCATACATTCAACCACCCCCACCTCATTTTGTAATTGTTAGGTCATTTGTTATAAAAAGGTGAGAATTAACTTCAACAACAAAGTAAGGTAACTGACTTGTCTTTTCTCATGATGAATACGTCTTATCTTATTCATTACTTCACGCTTATTTTAATAAAGCTATTATTAGGCCTAACAACTACTGGTTAACTAATACACTAGTTACTAGCCGGTCCTAAGCCCGGATAAAAAGGGAAGGTTGAGCTTAAGACTAGCAACCCTACCCCCGAAAACCAATCTAACCACTAAAGAAACTTCAAAGCACAAACAAAATATAAAACATAAAATTAAACTTATTCCTCTCTGGAATCCGAGAGACGAGACCGAGAACCCAGTTGGTGAAACACTTCAGAAAACCAATTGGTCCATGCGTCATCTCTCCTCTCAATGAAAGCAAAAGTAAACATGGGCACATAGAAAAATTCCATACAATGTTTGGAGCTGACTAGCAAAGCTGACCACATTGCAAAAGAGATGAGAACGTATCGTATTGAAGTGTTTGGAAAGTAGATGGAATGGAAGTGGACTCTCTCAACTGTCAACTGGAGAGTCAATAATCTACTCCGATATTGTCAACCAGACAACAACCACGAGCACACTGAGTTTTCGAGTGCCTACCATGATGTCCCCAAGAGCACTGAGGGCTCTCTCTCATACAATGGAAACCAATCTCCTCCTCCACGATCAGCATCATGACAGCCACATTCTACTCAAATAGGAGGAAAATCACATTCATACAATCCTACTCTACGCTATCCACATACAAATAATGCAGATGAAGAGAAGAAGCAGGAATTCCACAGACAACTCCAATCAGTACTAGACAAGATGGCGACATCCAACTTCATTCTAATGAGTGACATGAATGCAAGCCAAACTGGGAGTGGACAACACAGGAAGAGAACTAACTGATCATGGGTCGAGAAGCACTCAGTGAAACGATGAATGAGAATGGAGAATTGTTTGCAGAATTCTGTGCATTCAACGATTCGGTGATTGCACTGTGTACAAACACAAGGATATTCACACGCAGCGACATCGATTTGATTTCACCAGACACCAGATGGACACACCAGAAATCAGATCAACTTCATCTCAATGTGAAGAAAGTGGAGACACAGTCTACTGGACACAAGATCAGATCAAGAAGGGGAGCAGATATAGGTTCACACCACCAGACTATCTAGTGCAAGCGACCTGCATTCAAAATCAAGTTGAAAGCCTTCAAACAAGAATCTGGTGATAGGCCACAGTTCAAGTTCACCAACCAGCCAGAACAGAAACTGAACTCAACTGAAGGACGAAACTACAAAGGAGATCTTCACGTCAGTCAGCCATCAGGAAAAAGTGGGATACATTGAGCAACATCCTCGAGGAAACCTGTGTGGATGAGCACTGGAACTCTATGAAAGAGACATGGAAGGAAACCTGCATAACCGTGTTACGAGGGAAGAAGAAGAAGAGGCAAGACAAGGAATGGATTTCGACAGGTGCATGGAATCTGATGGAACAGGGAGAGGAAGATGGTGAAGCGGAGGATGAAGCAGAGCAGTGCAGTGCAGGGATGAACAACGAAAGGGGAACTGAACACAACCTTCAAAACACTACACTGGACAAAAAAGTGAAGAGAAGTGTGCGGACAGAGGAAAGACAGTGCTACGACACACTGGCAAGTGAAGCAGAACAGGCTGCTGGTAGGAGAGACAGAGATCTGACAACACTGAGTCAGGTAACCAGGTTAGTATCTGGGATGGGAGATATCAACACAGATGAAACCAATAAAAGATGATGAAGGAAATCTAATTACCAGAGAACAGAAACAAAGGAAGCAATAGGCCGACCACTTCAAGAAGCTCTTGAATCGACCACCGCCTACACTTCTTCCAAAAATACTACCTGCAGCCCACCCACAAACTACCAGTGAACACAAAACAGTGTATAGAATGGCAGTCAACTCAACTCAACTCTACCTCATCTTCATCGACTTTGAAAAGGCCTTCGACAGCGTCGACTGAGAAGTAATTTGGCAGTTGGTTCAACACTACGGAATACCACAAACCCTTATCAACCTCATTCAACAACTGTATGAAGACGCCACATGCCAAGTGATCCACAATTGGAAGCTTGGTGTCACCTTTGAAGTGAAGACAAGAGTAAGACAAGGCTGCCACCTACTATCACCAATCATCTTCCTGATTGTGGTCGACTGGATCATGCAGCAGAAGACCGTGAGGAGTGAGAATAGGGGCGTATGCTGGACCACGGAAAAGACCCTAGAAGAATATTTAAATTTCGTCGATGATGATTTATGTCCAATGTTGCACAAATTCGAAGATCTACAGGTGAAAACCCACAAGTTGACAGAAGAGGTGGGGTAACGAAGACGGAACTTCAAGTGAACGAAGAGAAGACACAGGTGATGAAGACACCCAGTCAACAACAACAACAACAACAACAACAACAACAAGCTTCAATCACCATCACCGGGAGAAGCTTAAAGGAAGTAGCCTCTTTCACCTACCACCTTAGCAGCATCGCTTCAACTACAGGTGGCGGCACAGACGAGGACGTCAAAGCCAGCCAGGATCGGAAAGACAGCAAGACAGGCTTTCACTAATCTGAAACTAGTGTGGAGATCTGCACTCAGCACAAAGCGTGAACAAGATCCGGATTTTCAACACTAATTCAGTCAAGTTAGTGCTTCTATATGTTTCAGATAGTTGGCACGTCACGAAAGGTATTTCCAACAAACTACAGACATTCATCAACAACTGCCTACGTTGGCTCGTGGGCAGTCGTGGAGCGAAGTTCAAAAGATTGCAGAGAACGGAGTGCCTTTGAGACGTGCAACTGATGCTTTATGTTCCACTAGGAACCTGAGGCACAAATGATGGTTATAAAGTTATTATTTCAGAATATGATCCACAGAAAATGTAAGAAGTCAAAAAAATGAACGATCAGCAAAATAGGAAATAAATTATTCAAAAGATTCAGTCTTGTGAAATTCATTGAAATCGTTTGATCGATTCTCTTGGCTAATTTCGTATGCCAAATTTTTACAATGTGTACCTCCATTTTGATTTACCCTCTATCCTTACACACAGCCAACTGCTAGGGTCTAAAAATCAGAAAATCCTGATCTAGTTTACGAAATAAAAGCAAAGCCAAGGAAATTTTGAATATACTCTCTTTATGTATTGGTGACATGAATTGACGATTAAGCTTTTGTCTTGCATACCGTGTTTTTGTGCAACCTACATCGAATATAAATACTAACCAGAAAAACAACGTTTTAGCTTAGCTATAAATTTCTCTTAAGTGATGTAAAGTGAAAGGCGTTACTATGGAGTTAAGAGACTAATTTACGTGCCTAAAAACCATTGGAATCTAACGTAAGAAATATCTTAAAACACGGCAATACTTGTCATGGTCAGAAATTAATAAAACATAGCTAGCAAAAGGTAAACTACCTACTCATCTGCACATTTTTAGGAAAGTGAATTATCTAAGTCGCTAGGCTTATCTTTCAAATTTTTGAAACGTTTAGCGAAAGTAAACTACCTACAAGTAAAATAATGTGTTTGCGGATACTATTCAGCACGACAAGTATGTTTTTAAGCATAGCATAAACATAGGCATAACATAATTTATTCATTTTATTTTCATTCAGCCGTAGCTAATCAGCACCGAATATAAGTAAACACTGAAGATGTGCAAACTACCACAGATTCTGTTCATTTTTCACTGTTACCTATTCTAATAGGAGACTAATGTTATATACCACGACTTGTGAACTTCAGTGAACACTTTCCATCATAGACTTTGTTGATACGACAACTAAATAACGTAGAAAAGTGCAGATAGTAAGAATGACTCAGACCGTTGATTTGTGAGTGACTTGTAAGTAGTCCATCAGATTGGAATTTACATTACATTCTACTGTCATTATAAAGAAGAATTTTCAAATAATCCCAAAATCATAACTATCAAAAACTAGGACAGATATTTTATTCCAAAGTTCAGTACTTTCAAATTAGGATAGTCTCAGTGAAAATTATAATCCACTGCCCTTCAAGAAATAGACTGAGAAAAAAAAACTGCGTCATCATTTGATCAGCAGTAATTAAATATCAGCTCCTATATTTCTTAAAACACTTTGATGTCTTAGAAAATGTCACTTATTAAGCCTTTAAACAGGTGCCATGCAGTGCATACTTCAGGTTACAGTTAACACCATAAAAATATTAATGAATTTGTGGGAAATAACAGTTTGACTTACCTTAGGCTTTTTCCTTAAGTAAACAAAAACCCCATCAGCGGAAACTTTTATAAGTACTTTTTGTTTCTTGATGCCTTTCTCTTTGAATTCATACTGGAAAATATTTCAAAGTAAAATGAAATTATAATTGTTTCACAAAGTCTTAGTTTCATAACAGCATACGACAAATTAATAAAACTCAAGAAAAAGTGAATGATAATTCAGAAATAGTGACACCAGGCTGAGGAAATTTATTACAGTTTTCTGATGTTGATCATATAAACAAAACTCAAATGGTTACCTTTCTCTACCCAACTGAGATTTAAAGACTACCAGAATACTTAATTGTTATTTTGTGTGATCGTGTATATAATATACGAAGGAAATTATACACTACAATAATACCACTTCTAGCACTTTCAGGCACCCATCAATAAGAACTTATGATGCCATTTGAGAAATCTCAGCTTCAGGAACTACAGAACAAAAGCATGTCTCCTAGGACGATACTTGTCTACTGTGAGTGAACTGACAGTGGTACTTAATTAGCAGTAGAGTCTAGTAGTTCAATCAGTACATGGTAAAACGAGTAGGCTGGAGTTTGATTATGGAAAACTTTGACAATGACTTACCTACTTTTAAAATATTGGAGAGACTGATTATTGGTCTCATATGGGTAGTTAGGTCCCTTAACTAGATGAAAAAAGAGGCACACTGGAGCTGTATAAGCTTTGTTATTGGATGTATTAATAAATCACTTATATTTAACTTACAATCATCATTTTTATACGGTTGATCATGGCTAATGCTGCTCGACAAACGTTTACTGAGTTAACAAGATTTTATTCATTCTTTCTGATGAAAAGACTACGGTCGGATTGGATACCTGTCATAAGGAAACGTTATATACATGCTATTCACTTGATAAACTGACAAAACACTTGGCAATAGAACTAGGATACTGATCTAAGTATCTGTTTGATATTGTAGCAAAATATGTGAGACTGATAACACGAACGTTGTTAGTTTTGAATTCATAATTTACCTGGTTTCTTAACCTTAGTCAACTAGGCAGTATCTGCCTAAAAGTATGTTAAAGCTTTATATAAAAATGGGAAACGTAAGTCCAGTCAATCATAAACAAAGCTGACTTTCTATATCAATTTACTACTTTGATTTAATCTTTAATTTTTTTTAAAATATGCGGTAGGTTATCGAAAATGAGTGATTCATAAATAATTATGGAAATCTCACTTGCAATTTATATTGTTATATACATAAGCTCAAAGAAACATTGACTCTCTTCACCTGAGAGTAAATAAATGTGAGCATAAATTATTTAAAAAGTTCATGAAATGTGAGCATTCCATGAAATGGTGGCTTTCTCTTTTCCCCATACCGAAGATCAATATTAACTTTACTCTTCAGAAGACTACCGGGTTAATCGCATAGGGTGTATTTTACTTCAGTTATCCAAGTGTAGTAAATTAGAACACATAACAAATTTCACAAATATTTTGTTAGATCCCTCAAAGTTCTAATCTTGCTAGGAAGATTCTTTTCAAGAGTATAAATTTGAAATTAAGTTTTCAGGTTAATATACAAGTTTGGTAAAGAAAGTGACTGTTATGATCATCCAATAAGACTGTGATATAGAACAAAGACAAATATAATTTGAGTGATTTAACAAATTGGTCAAAGAAGCTTACTCAAGTTGTGCAAATAAGGTAGTACAAAAATAAGGTGAAAAACGTACAGGCGAGTTATTAGTCATCAGGGGGGAGTAAAAATAAATTATTATTTAGGAAAGATGAATAGGTTCGAAATAAAACATGTGAAGTGTGAAATGAAATCGGGTTCAACCTTCACCGCATATATTACTAAAATTTTTTTATTACAATCAATAGTTTGCGATATTTGTGGGATATCTATTCCGCTGTCTCTGTTTACCGCACAAGGGTACGAATAGATATGCAAATCTTTTGCAATGACCCACTTTTTCCGGGGAAGAAATTCCGTTTGCAAGATTACCTTTCTGAATAATATTTTATAACCTGATTGTAAAGCACGAGCCACGATGGCAGAGCTTATTTCAAGTTTTTTCAGTCCATAGGAAATTTCCGGTTACTGTTTGCAACTTTGACCACTGAACGGTTAGGCATGTTGGTACTCGAAGAGATGTCTCTCCAATTTATATGGTATAGC